TAAAAAAATTAGAATAGTTTATCTACTGATGTTAAGGATCATGTAAATTCCATGAGGTAACCGATCCGAAACATCCATGGTGATTGATTGATAGTAGATTGTGATGTTTCAAGGTGTTTGGTTATTTTAAGGTGTTTGATTTTTGAAGTTGTTTGAATTTAAAAAGATGTCTATGGTTGTCTGTGATTTTATTAATGTTTAATAAATTTAGGAGAGTAATTTCAGAATACATAAAAAGTAAAAAACATGACAATTTGTCACACTTTTATAATAACTTAAATAAATTTAAAAAATTAATTATTTAAAAGTTAGAGAAAAAATACTTTTTATTTTAATTTTTTAATTATTAACTTTTAACCTATAATAAATTGTAAATTGCAGCTATGCTCAACATTTATAAAGCCAAGTCTTCCTTGACGAGTGAAAAGTTATGGAGTCCAGCTGTGTAAACATCAATGAAGACTGACTAGTCAAACTCACTTTACTTGTTTGTAGGCTTTGCATTGCACCTACATTTGCCTATAAAGCATTTGGCGTCTCCCCTGTTAATAGTCAGCAAGCATTACAACCTTTGTTTTTGAATCTAGGAGCAAAGATGGTCTCTAACAATCAACTCTTTCACCTCTTTTTGTTTCTTTGTTTTTTCCAGATTACTTGTTTGCATGCCCAACTCTGCACTCAACAACAGACCTCTGCATTGCTCCAATTTAAGCAACAATTTTCCTTCAATAAATCTGCTTCCGAATATTACTGTGATTATATCTACGGAATCCATTCTTACCCGAAGATGGAGTCGTGGAAGGAGGGTTCTGATTGTTGCTCATGGGATGGGGTCGAGTGTGACAACAACACAAGTCAAGTAATTGGCCTCGACCTCAGTTGCAGCTGGCTCAACGGCACCATCCAACCCAATAGCACCATCTTCTACTACTTTCCTCACCTCCAAAGCCTCAACCTTGCTTTCAATGACTTCGGTATGTCTCCAATCTCATCTGAATTTAGTCGGTTCACCAGACTGACACACCTCAACCTCTCACGGTCTAGTTTTTCTGGCAAAGTCCCTATAGAAGTCTCCTTTCTGAGCAAATTGGTCTCGCTTGATCTCTCTTACAATTATGATTTGAGGTTGGAAGAACCGGGTTTCGAATTACTTGTTCAAAACTTAACCAAGGTAAGAGAACTTAATCTTTTTAAAGTAAACATATCTTCAGTGGTTTCGAATTCCTTGCTCAAGCTGACTTCTTTAACACTTCTCGATCTTAGTGAGTGTGGATTGCTTGGAAAATTTCCTGACGGAATATTCCATTTTCCACATCTGAATGAGTTGTGGATATGGGATAATCCTGCTCTCACTGGTTATTTTCCCGAGTTTATAAACTCGAGCAGTCCTCTCCAGCACTTGGAGCTTGCATACACTAATTTCTCTGGAGAACTACCTCGCTCCATTGGGAATTTGAAGTCCTTGAAAATTTTGGATGCCTTTGATAATAAATTTTATGGATCCATCCCTACGTCGCTTGGAAACCTTACGGAAATGACTGATTTTGACTTCAGAGGAAACAATTTCACTGGCATGCTTCCATCTTCACTTTCAAACCTTGGAAATCTCATCTACTTGGGAGTTGAGGGTAATAATTTTGAAGGTAAAATCGCAGATTTTTTACCCAATGCAAACCTAACAAAACTTTTTGCGTTAGATTTGTCGGATAATCTGCTAAGAGGACCTCTTCCATCACAAATAATTGGACTTCCAAATCTAGCGGCATTACTTTTAGGTAATAACTTAATCAGTGGTACAATTCCATCTTGGGTCTTCAGCTTACCAGCATTGAATTACTTCAACCTCAGTAATAACAAATTGACTGGCCAAATAAAAGAGTTCAAATCCACTCATTTAACTATTGTTGATTTGAGCAATAACAACCTACATGGTAGGTTTCCAAGTTCAACCTTAAAACTCGTGAACCTTACTAGTCTCATTCTTTCATCAAATAACTTCAGTGGTGAGCTAGACATGCTCTGTCATGCAATTTCCCTTCAAATTCTTGTCCTGTCTAGTAACAACTTTAAGGCCATGTTTGTTTGGGTGGACATGAGCTTGGGATTGGACTAATAGTCCAATAAAATTATTAATCCGATGTTTGGTTAAACAATTGAAGTAGGGATTAATTATTTTAAACTTGATTATTAGTTAAGATAGAATACATAATCCAACAGATTCATAGTTCTAGGACTATTAGTCATGGAATGCTAATCCAGTCCGCCCAAACAAACATGGCCTAATGGTTCTATTCCACAATGTTTAGGAAATTTCAGCATAGGTTTCTCTGTGCTTGATCTGCAAAAGAATAATTTTTCTGGCACCATTCTTGATGCATTTGTAAAGGGAAATTCCTTCGAAACAATCAACCTTGACGGAAATAGATTTGAGGGCCCAGTACCAAAGTCTTTAGTCAATTGCGAAATGCTACAAGTGCTAGACCTTGGACATAACAAGTTCTCCGATAAATTTCCATATTGGTTGGAAAATTTAACTTCACTACAAGTTCTAATTTTGAGATTTAACAAATTCCATGGGCCTCTACCGAATTCAGAGTGCAAATTTCCCTTCCCCAACTTGCGAGTTATGGATTTATCAAACAATTATTTTACTGGTCCATTGCCAAGAAAATATTTCAAGAATCTCAATGCTATGATGAATGTCAACGAAGCTAGTTTTGAATTGAATTACTTAGGGATGCCTAGTAGTTCAGCATATTACTATGATTGTTTGACCATAGTAATCAAAGGATCAACCATAGAAATGGTAAAAGTCCTAACCATTTTCACTGCAATTGATTTATCAAAAAACAATTTTGAAGGTGAGATTCCAGAGATCATTGGAAGGCTAAATTCAATTCGAGGGCTCAACTTATCCCACAACAACCTTATAGGTCATGTACCAGCATCTCTTGCTAATTTGACAACACTTGAATGGTTAGATCTCTCTTCCAACAAATTCACTGGGGAGATTCCTCAACAACTGAGGAATTTGATATCCCTTGAAGTCTTGAACCTTTCGCAAAATCAACTAGTAGGGCCAGTACCACAAGGCAACCAATTTGATACATTTTTAAATGATTCCTACATTGGCAACTTGGCATTATGTGGACCTCCATTGCTTAATACATGCAATCCAAGGACACCACAACCACCACCCTTGATGTTTCAACAAGAAGACAATCCTTCAAGTGGATTCAATTGGGACGTCATATTACCGGGTTATATATGTGGGCTTGTGTGGGGACTTGTTATGGGATATCTTATGTTCTCTAGAGGAAAACCTCAATGGCTTGTGAGGATCATTGAAGGTGAACGAAACGAAAGCAGAAAGAGATTTAAAAAGTATGCTTACAAGAACAGAGGAAGGTGAAATTAGCCAATGCAAATGGTGTCCTTTGGTAAGTATTACAATGAATTTCTGCATCCTTTTACTTGATCATGAAAAATTATGGCTTGGTTATGGTTGTTATCTAGTCTATTTTTAGTTTCTTGGCAGTTTATTTGTATCATACATAATAAAGCTAGTTTATTTCCTTTGATGTTTATACAAAGCACTAGATTGGAAATCATCATGCAAACAATTAAAAAATAAAATCGTGTTTGTTATTGACTCTAATAGCTGCAATTGACAAAAGGTACAAGACTTGGACACTTTTTTAATAGTTTTTCATTTTCTTTTTAAATTTACTTTTATACCTTAAACTATAGTCACTTTTTTTACTTCATTTTTAAATCACTAATTGCATCTTTTTAGTCTTTATTGTTCATGATTTCAGTTCATATGGGAGACAATTTGTCCAAATCATTAATGCTAAAAATCTAATCTGATGGTTAAAAAAAATAATTTTACAATTTAGACCACCAAAAACCCAGATTTCTCTCTACTTCAAATAATGAATAAGAAAATGACTGCTTGGTTAGGTAAATTTACACCAACCTCTCATAATTATAGTGGGTTAACACTTAGCTTATTTTTATTAGTAATTCATTAAATAAAACCTTGATAATAAATATTTAGATCACATCTTTTAAATGTGATTAAAAACTAATCAAACCTGTGATAATTAACATTTAGATCACATCTTTTCAGTATGATAAATAACATTAAATCACATCTTGTAAGTAATTAATAACTAATAAAACCTTGATAATAAATATTTAGATCACATCTTTTAAATGTGATTAAAAACTAATCAAACCTGTGATAATTAACATTTAGATCACATCTTTTCAGTATGATAAATAACATTAAATCACATCTTGTAAGTAATTAATAACTAATAAAACCTTGATAATAAATATTTAGATCACATCTTTTAAATGTGATTAAAAACTAATCAAACCTGTGATAATTAACATTTAGATCACATCTTTTCAGTATGATAAATAACATTAAATCACATCTTGTAAGTAATTAATAACTAATAAAACCTTGATAATAAATATTTAGATCACATCTTTTAAATGTGATTAAAAACTAATCAAACCTGTGATAATTAACATTTAGATCACATCTTTTCAGTATGATAAATAACATTAAATCACATCTTGTAAGTAATTAATAACTAATAAAACCTTGATAATAAATATTTAGATCACATCTTTTAAATGTGATTAAAAACTAATCAAACCTGTGATAATTAACATTTAGATCACATCTTTTCAGTATGATAAATAACATTAAATCACATCTTGTAAGTAATTAATAACTAATAAAACCTTGATAATAAATATTTAGATCACATCTTTTAAATGTGATTAAAAACTAATCAAACCTGTGATAATTAACATTTAGATCACATCTTTTCAGTATGATAAATAACATTAAATCACATCTTGTAAGTAATTAATAACTAATAAAACCTTGATAATAAATATTTAGATCACATCTTTTAAGTGTAATTAATTACTAATAAAACCTGTGATAATAAATATTTATATCACAAACTTTAAGTGTTATTAATACCTAATAAAACCTATGATTAATAATGAAATAAGATCACACGTTATATACATTTCTCATCACAGTTAATGCATGTGATAAAAAAAGAATTCAACATAATTGAAGAATAATCAATATTATTTTTATACGCGCATTTCAATAATATAATACACACTATATGGTATACTTTGAATCACAACCATATTGAATGGAATAACGTCATATATTTCATAAATGAAAGTTAAATATGTTTAAAAGTATATACAAAGGAATTAAATAAAATTTTTAACTGTGCTTACATATATTAAAAAATGAAAAAGCTTGAAAAATTAAGTTCTTGAATTCTTTGACCATATTTTGCATCTCTTCAAGAAATTTCTAACCTGAAAAATAAAAATATAAATTAATTCAGAAACCACTAAAAGCATATGAATAAACTAACTATGAAATAAGCAAAAAAATCAAATATCCATACACCAAACAACCTGCATATTAACTTTCATCATCAACTTCTATCATATCAAGCTCATAACAACCTCAAACATACAAACCAAAAAAAGTACCCAAATTATAAGATTCACTAATCTCTAAAATACGACTTTAAACATCCAAAAAGTATAACTACAAATCGTAAATCAATTAGTCTAATATTTAGTCTAAAAGAATGAATTAACTAGGCCATGAAACTATACTTCCTGTTACATCTTGAAGATCACGAATTGACTAGGCCATGGACCTGTATGATTTAAACCTGAGTGTTTCTAATCCTATCATATTAACACACGTATTATTACAGTAAGCCATATTACGCAAAATATGACATGAATGAGGAGCTGGTAACCTATGCTTTACACTAGCAAAAAGAAAAGAAAGTGATACATCATCAGGCTATTCAAATCCCTATCATCCATGAATAGCACTCACAGGCCACAACTCTATTTATATTGACTTAATGTCAAGCACATAAAATGTGCAATATATCAGTACTTCAAGCATGTGTCAGATAGTTCTGTAACTATGAAATGAACTTGCAATTACTTGTACAAGTTAGTTTTAAACCTCATTAACTAGCACCACTACTCCACTCACATTGACTTATTCCCAAGCACATAAAAATGTGTAATATATCAATCAGTACTTTGAGCATGCTATCATATGCTACTGCACAAATTAAAGGAAAAACCTATAATGTGTTGGAGATTTTGCATAAACCTGAGTGTTTCTAATCCTAGGCTACTGCACAAATTAAGGGAAAAAAGGAATTCCAGAAGTAATGTTTCAGAGGCTAAAATAGAAAAAGGTTACACAAAAAATACGCCAAGAGTCTACAACATCAGATGTCACAGACCAAAAACAAAGCTAGCTGGGTATTAAGAGAGCCAAAACACAACCAAAATGACCAAGAGATGTTCACAGAGACCACAGTGCAGCCATGCAGAGCACAAAATGCTAGAAAAGGCAGAGCAAAACTCTCTCTCTCTCACACACACACACACACACACACACCAAGACCCAAAAAGAAAAACAAATAAATAAAGAATACAGCAAGACTCTACTTTCAGATAGAAATGGCAGAAGAATTTCCAGAAACAAACCCAAGTGAACACATCAATTTTGAATTCTGTTCTAAGCTGTCTTTCCTATGTTAATTTTCTTTTAGTTTACTGGATGCTTCTTAATGAAATAATCTACATTGATAGTGCTTTTTAAATAATCTTTATAAGCCAAACAATAGAAATGAAAAGGATAACAGAATCCAACAAGTGTTGAATATCCAAAGGAGTTGTATATGTGACAAAACACATGCCTACTAGTAGGGGAAAGGAAAACCTGGATGTTATTTGATACAATATTTCTGACAAGTCTAGTTTCTGCTCAAAACTCTGTTACATTGTGGCAAATCCAATAAGAAGAGGTTCGAGAAGCCCAACAAGACAGCTCTTTATCTAAACCCCCTTTTCTGTTTCAGATTTATCTTTGTTAGGTTTGCGAGCAACAATCGATCATTCAATGCACCAAACAGCACTGTACAGAAGTTCATCTTGATGGCTCAGAAAAGCAGTGGTATAGTACAAAGCTGCAATTGTTGATATATAGATCAAACAAGAGTAGAGAAAATAACATGATGCTGAGGAACCTCAAATATGAAAGTAAAAATTTTAATTAACTGAAACAATGTATGATACCTGCATTGGGCATCCTAATAGAAAGAATTGTCCTCACTTTTCCATCCCACCCAAGCACGCTGATTGCAGTGGCAGTTGAAAATAGAAGTGCAGGTCCAACCCAGAGAAGGGATCTAAAGTAATCATAGGTTAAAGACCAAACAATTTTAATAACTATTAACCATGTCATATAACAAAAAGTGTAACTATCAGAAAAGTAGCCAATATGCAATAAGTTTTCCATCTAAGGATATTAAAGGAAGTTCCTTATCAAATTTTGTAGAACTGCTAGCCAATATATCTAGATCTGCTGAAACAATTAGAACTCTTTTGAGTTGTTAATACTCCTGCGACATAGCCTCACAGAGTTTCTTGCCAGTGAACCTGGAAAAGAGAGTTAGAAGAAACAAGAAACAATTTTCTAATTATTTGTACATTCAATTCCAAGGGAAAAATTAATAGAGAGAGAGAGAGAGAGAGAGAGAGAGAGAGAACAACTGATAAGAGTAGATCCACATGGATGGTTAATTAGTTGAAAGCTCACTTTCTGGTCAGAGGTAACTAATTCATGGTATTTGGAAAGCTATATGACCAGCCATAGGAGCTATTTTATATTAATAAGAAAAAAATTATAAGAAAAAATTCTGAGTACCCCATGCTAAAGTTGCTGATATTCTGCAGCACAATGGTGCAGTTAGCAGTGTTAAAATTTGATATAGGTACAAGAAATAGATTTGGAATAGCAAAGCCCAAAAGGCCAACTCTGATCTGAGCTACATGGGACATATTTGATCTTCATTTTCCATTAGAGGGGAACATTATACTCAGCAAATTCACACTATACAAAATTTCTTTAAAACTAGAACAGGTAAAGGACAAGGAAGAGGAATGAGAGCATCCTTTAAAAAACTTACGATTGAAGCAAAGAGCACAAATTATCTGACAGAAGACAGTGTCTACTAAAAGAAAGCAGACAGAACAGAAATGTAAAAACAGAAGAGCAATTATGAAAGAAAAAGTGATTACATCTAAATAATCTCTGCAACTTTTTTCTAATTCTAAGCCCTAGACAATGGACAACCCCACAATTATGGAACCTTTCAAACCTCATCCTATCCAACATGATAAAGATCATAAGCATCTTAACTTTTTCTTTTTTACAAAAACCAATAGAATTTTTGGGAATATATTATTTCGCAATAATCATTAAAAAACTCTTAATGTCAAAGACGTCATACTCATGTAGGAAGGTGTGTGTGTAAGCATCCATGTTAGAAAACTGTTAAGATGTTTCTAAGCCATAGCTGACCCTATTTCCGCAAGAATGCAAACAATGATTTGGAAGTTTGCATGTATGACCCATCTTCAACCTCACCTTTAAAGACAAGCAAATAATCTTTATAAGCAAGCAATGATTTGGAAGTTTGAATTTTTGAAGAAACACTCACCGTCTTCAATATCACCTGAGAAGTATCTCTCAGATCAGTATCACCTGAGAAGTAAGACTTTTTTTGTGGGTTTGATGATTATGACAATTGATCCAATTACATGAAAATGCCCTGCATCACTATACCACCAACTTGGAATTTTCTATTTCTTCCAAGTTTGAATGGAAAATCCATAACAGCAAAATGGGAAACACCAATTTATAAAATACTTATACAAATCTCAATCACATCCAATCTTTATGGTTTTTAAATTTTACTAAATTTGAACAAAATATAATTCTTAAAATTTAATGATTTGATTCATTCTTAAGAGACAGTTGGTAGTTGATTAAGAGGGAGTTAAAGCTTCAAGTCAATTATTGGAACCTCTATATACAAGTCTTAAAGTCAAGCAACTTGCTAAGAGCATCTATGTAACTTCTGTTTAAAAAAAGAAAAAATCAAAGTTGAACAGGTAACAACTGTAGGACAGATATGTCTATGTAAATATATAGAAAAGATGAGTTGCTAAGATTGCCAGTGAAGGTGAAGTCTGATGATGATCTAGCAGCAGCTGCTGCTGGAGCGGCTGATGGAAGGCCAGGCCACTGCAGAGATAGGTTTTATCGTTCATTAGCAGGAGGCCAATTCTGAATATAAAGAGTTATGAAACACTTTTCCTAGTTTGAAGAATTATATACGAATAAATTGATCGTTTCTTATCTTCTTTTTTTTTTTTTTTTTAGCTTCACCTTTTGTGTTGCAAGAGTAGACTGTGTTGCCTAACAGAATTTGCATCGATTTAGAATAGGTTAGATGTGAAAATTAGCATCTTTAATAACCAGTATGTTAAGTGGCGTTTGGCAAATGCTTTTTCAATGGCCAAACAGGAGCAGCTAAAAGAGATCCATGTATGTGTGTTATCATTGCTACCACGATTCTCACAACAAAGCAGAGACGGTTGGTAGTTGATTAAGAGGGAGTTAAAGCTTCAAGTCAATTATTGGAATCTCTATATACAAGTCTTAAAGTCAAGCAACTTGCTAAGAGCATCTATGATCTCTATATCTTTCTTGCAAGTTAAATTTAATAATACTAACTAAGCAACTAATATCTCCATCAAAATTCAGAACAAAGCAAAATTTAACTAGCAATTGGAAACAATTTCTGTAAGAACAAAGACATTCAAACCATCAAAACAGGTTACATAACCAAATCAATAGAAATTTTCATTGAAGAGCTATAAACACAACACAATTCAAAATACACATAAGCTCCTGTCTCTATGAATCCTTGATCCTTGAGATCATAAAGTTGAAATGAAACTGTATTTATCAACAAAAAAAAAGCTGAACTGAAACTGGAAGGAAGAAAAATTTAGCTTAATTGAATAGAAATCAAATCAAATCAAATCAAAATCAAAATCAAAACCCTAGAAATCAAAATCAAAACTCTAGAAATCATGCTTTTCCATGTCACTTTGTTGATTGTTCAACTTCAACACATTCTTTTTATCTTACATTTATTCTTGGATTGTTTTAAAAAATGCACCTTTCCACTTGATTGAAGGTGGTTTTGTTTTGGAAAAACAAATGCTAGATGATAGAAGATTCCCAAAAATGCATCTCGACTTACAGCAAAAGGTCCCCATAAAGGTAATGTAAGATTTTTTTTTTTTTTCCCTGACAGATTATTAAAAGCAGTAATCAATTGAAAACATTTACACCATTGCAATAAACCATTAGCCCAAATACAATACTTTTTTTTTTTTGTTGATAAATAACCATTAACTCAAATACAATACTTCCCCACCGCCATTAACCCCAAATCTAGCCACCAAATAGGCCTTATTCCAGCCTTCCTAACAAAGTAGATCCTGCAATCCATCAACAAACTCCAAGGCTGAATCATATCATCAAGAATAATAGCCACACTCTGGTCCATTTCCCTGTTCACATTAAACATATTCACCACACCCTGCAAATCAACTTCTACAATAATAGAAGGTAACCTCAACTCCCCAGCTATCCTTATCTCGTCCCTACTAGCCAGCACTTATATTGAATAAAACTTAAAACAAATGAGGTATAATGTATATTAATTAATTTAACATGTTTATGATTTAAATGTAAAAAATACTGCCACAAATGGTTCTCCAAAGATAGAAATATGCATGATAGATGAAAATGTATGAAAATTTTATTTTATTTATTTATCTATCTATCTATCTATCTCTTCTTCTTTTTTTTAATGTTTCTTAAATATGAGCACGAACAAAAGTGATTCTCTAAAAATTGAAAATGCACATGAATAAATTAATGTTCATGGAGGTAATTTTTTCCTCACCTAAATGCACCACATAAAATGGAGAGAAAAATTAGGGCAAAGATGAACCGTCCATCCTCCAATTTCGTTTCTGAGGCATTAATGTGGCCCGCCGCCTGATCCTTCTCATCGTAATCAGCCCGTTCGAGATCGCCATTCTGACGAGTCCGGTGGTAGTCCTTTGTAGACAAGGGTTCTGAAACAGTTGAGGGGAGTGTAGGGTCTGGATTTGAACATATGGCTTGTAGAGGAATTGGAGAACATCGAATGTAGGGTTAGGGTTTTGGAACCGATGACGAGAGTGGAGAAGACGAAATAGACGACCAGTGAAGATCGGTGAAGATAATAGGCGAAGAGAGAGAGAACGGTGAGAGAGGAGGTGGTGGCGGCGGCAGTGGTGGTCGCCGGTTGCGCCACCAGAGGCGACGACGTAGGAGGCGGAAGAGATAAAGAGACAGGACAGTGAGAGGGAGTGCTAGGTTAGGGTTTACCCTCTGTATAATACTAGCGGGTGAGACACGCGATGCATTTGGAAATTCAGCAAAAAATTATATTATTTTTTTATTATATTTTTTAATAATAATATACGTATTATATTATTTTTTTATTATATTTTTTAATAATAATATACGTATGAATTATAAGTGTAATGTAATGCAAACTAAATATTTTTAACTACGTGTAATATAACATTTATTTGGTATATATTTCAAACAAAAATATGAACAATATAATATACACAAATCTATTCTAGTACAAACTATCATACTGTACATCTGTAATGTAAAACCCTAGAAATCACTCAGACGCGAAGAAGACTCGCACGATCATGTCAAATAACTACACAAAAGATTGCAATTCACAAATTTTCAGCGCAAAAATAAAGCAAAAATACAGTGTCAGTGTTACAGAATCATTGAATTGTCTATAAAATTTTGACCCAAACAACACCCAATCAATAAGAAAAAAAAAAACTAAAAAACCACTCATCCCACACTCAAAAAACCTAAATTTCAACCCAGTCCAATCACAGTTGACAAAATTTCAAAAGAACATAAACAAAAATAAATAAATAAACAGATACTGAACAATCAAATTTCTAATTTCAAAACATATAATTAACCAATACACACACCAAAACCCCAAAATTTCAAAAATTCTGACAACAAAAACACAAAAAAGCAAAATTTTCCTGGTTTGAAGAATTATATACGAATAAATTGGTCGTATCTTATCTTCTTTTTTTTTTTTTTTTTTAGACTGTGTTGCCTAACAGAATTTGCATCGATTTAGAATAGGTTAGATGTAATTTTTTTTTTTTTTTTTTTTTTTTTTTAGACTGTGTTGCCTAACAGAATTTGCATCGATTTAGAATAGGTTAGATGTAAAATTAGCATCTTTAACAACCAGAAGCATTCTGATTAGGTTAGTGTGTGCTTTCTAGCTACTCCCTATTGTGATTCGATGTAACTAGGGATTTGATGCTTCCCCAACCAAAAACCTGAGTGATCCAATGTGATGGTTGAGTATAATTGTTAGATACTTCGTGATTTAAGATTATTTTATTTATTGATTTTAAGATTATTTTATTTATTTATTTCTATTTTTTACACGTTAAAGGCTTAAATTATCCAGAAAGATACATTCTTACTTTAGGGAAGGGATAAAGAATCTCTGTTAAATTCCATGTCCTAAGATGAATGCAAAAGTTCAGATTTGGCTTTCATAATATGTAAAACAATTAGAAAGAAATGGCATGATTAAATTGAAAATGCAAAACAATAAAGTTGCTTTTCCATGTCACTTTTTTGATTGTTCAACTTCCACACATACTTTTTATCTTACATTTATTCTTGGATTGTTTTAAAAAATGCACCTTTCCACTTGATTGAAGGTGGTTTTGTTTTGGAAAAACAAATGCTAGATGATAGAAGATTCCCAAAAATGCATCTTGGCTTACAGCAAAAGGTCCCCATAAAGGTAATGTGAGATTTTTTTTTTTTTTTTCCCCTGACAGATTATTAAAAGCAGTAATAAATTGAAAACATTTACACCATTGCAATAAACAATTAGCCCAAATACTTTTTTTGTTGATAAATAACCATTAACTCAAATACAATACTTCCCCACCCCCATTAACCCCAAATCTAGCCACCAAATAGGCCTTATTCCAGCCTTCCTAACAAAGTAGATCCTGCAATCCATCAACAAACTCCAAGGCTGAATCATATCATCAAGAGTAATAGCCACACTCTGGTCCATTTCCCTATTCACATTAAACATATTCACCACACCCTGCAAATCAACTTCTACAATAATCGAAGGAAACCTCAACTCCCCAGCTATCCTTATCTCGTCCCTACTAGCCAGCACTTATATTGAATAAAACTTAAAACAAATGAGGTATAATGTACATTAATTAATTTAACATGTTTACGATTTAAATGTAAAACATACTGCCACAAACACAAATGGTTCTCCAAAGATAGAAATATACATGATAGATGAAAATGTATGAAAATTTTATTTTATTTTATTTATCTATCTATCTATCTATCTATCTATCTATCTATCTATCTATCTATCTATCTCTTCTTGTTTTAATGTTTCTTAAATATGAGCACGAACAAAAGTGATTCTCTAAAAATTGAAAATGCACATGAATAAATTAATGTTCATAGAGGTCATTTTTTCCTCACCTAAATGCACCACATAAAATGGAAAGAAAAATTAGGGCAAAGATGAACTGTCCATCCTCCAATTTCGTTTCTGAGGCATTAATGTGCCCCGCCGCCTGATCTTTCTCATCGCAATCAGCCCGTTCGAGATCGCCATTCTGACGAGTCCGGCGGTAGTCCTTTGTAGACAAAGGTTCTGAAACAGTTGAGGGGAGTGTAGGGTCTGGATTTGAACATATGGCTTGTAGAGGAATTGGAGAAGATCGAATGTAGGGTTAGGGTTTTGGAACCGATGACGAGAGTGGAGAAGACGAAATAGACGACCAGTGAAGATCGGTGAAGATAATAGGAGAAGAGAGAGAGGACGGTGAGAGGAGGTGGTGGCGGCAGCAGTGGTGGTCGCCGGTTGCGCCACCAGAGGCGACGACGTAGGAGGCGGAAGAGATAAAGGCCGCGTTTGGTAGAGCCGTGCGAAATTGATTATACCTTATAATACAATTTAACAGTTTATAACTTATAATTGTGAATATAAGTTAATTTTTTAGCTATAAATTAAGTTTTTTCTCCCTCAGTTAAAGAATAAGTTAATTTTTAACTTACAAAAAATTATAAGCTGTATTATTAAATTAAACTAAACATATCAAAATAACCTAAATTAAGCTAAAAGGTGAAATAAGTTAGAAATAAACCCTACCAAACAGGGCTAAAGAGAGAGAAGAGTGAGAGCGAATGTTAGGTTAGGGTTTATCCTCTGTATAATATATCTGTCTATCTATACTTACTATATATTAAGTAAATGGATTTTTAACTCAAACCTTGTTGGAGTTTCAATCTCTCAATTTAAATTTTTTGATTTTTTTATTTTAAAAAAAAAACAAAAAACTTAGCATTTATTAATTTTTTCCAACCCCCAAGTCTTACCCTCATAATAACACTTTAATGTATTAAGAACAAGCATAAAAAAAAATTTCTTTGAAATCCAACACATATGAATTCTTTGAAAATCTATCTATCTATCTATACTATATATTAAGCAAAATGGGGTTTTTAACTCCAAACCTTATGAGAGCTCCAATCTCCCAATCTAAATTTCCTGATTTTTTGATTTAAAAAATAAATAAAATCTTAACATTTATCAACTTCTCCCAACTCTCAAGTCTTACCCTCATAATAGCACTTTAATGCATTAAGAACAAGCATACAAAAAATTCTTTGAAATCCAACACATATGAATTTTTTGAAAAGTCCCAACACATATGATTATTATCTCTCATAATAACACTTTAATGTATTAAGAACAAACATAAAAAAAAATTCTTGGAAAGTCCAACACATCTATACTATATATTAAGCAAAAATGAGTTTTTAACCCCAAAGCTTGTGGGAGCTCCAATCTCCTAATCCTAATTTTCTAAATTTTTGATTAAAAAAAAAAAAAAAACTCAGCATTTATTGACTTCTCCCAACCTACAATCCCTTTTGACTTCTCTCATAATTATTGCAACACCCTTTTCAATTTCTCCCATACACTATGGTTACACACAAAAATAAAAAAATAAAAAAAGATAAGAATTTAGGTATAGATCTCAAAAAGATATAACATCTAAATTTGAATTATGATTTAATAATATAATTATGTCTTTTTTATTATGTATATCTATCAAAATTTTAAATCACTTAATGGGACAAATTAATCAATTTTTCAAAATTATTGATTTTTAATTTACAAAATAGATTAAAAAAACTATTGACTGATTCATTTATTTAATAACAAAAATATTTCATAATATCTCCCTCCTAATCTCTCCCTCCGAATCTCTCTCACAATTTTTTTTTAAAAAAATATTAAAACTTGCATTCCTTTTCTCTTCTCCAAAAAATCAGATAATATTTTTTATTAAAGTTGTAGATATCCACCTATATTTTATATATTATATTATAACATAACAAAAAAACTAAAAAACTAAAAAAAAAATCTTTAAATAAATAAAACTCACATATCTATCACATATCTAACTCACATCATAATTTACCTAAATAATAATAATTAAAAACAAATGGAAACCACATATAAATTAAATTTTAAAAAAAAGATACCCACAACTCCATCTAAATAAATTGAAAAAAAAAATACCCGAATAGAAACTACACAAAAATAAAAATAAAAATAAAAAGATATATCTATCTATCTATCTATATATCTATGCTATATATTAAGCAAAAGGGGGTTTTTTAACCCCAAACCTTGTGAGAGCTTCAATCTCTCAATTTAAATTTCTTGATTTTTTGATTTAAAAAAAAAAAACCTTAGCATTTATTAACTTCTCCCAACCCCCAAGTCTTACCCTCATAATAACACTTTAATGTATTAAGAACAAGCATAAAAAAAAATTCTTTGAAAAGTCTAACACATATGATTATTATCAAAATATTAAACTTTAATATAATATAAAAAAAGAAAAAAAGAAGACATTTAAAAAAAAAAAAATTTAAAAATCGCAATTCACATATATAGATAATTGTAAACACAATCCGTGCATAGCACGGGTGATATGCTAGTATGACAGAATATAGAAGGAATGTAATTTGACCGAGCAGTTAGCACGGCTTACATGTTGAACTGAAATCCTTGCTGATATACCAGCCCGGCACGTCGGTTGTTTCATAATTGCAAGACACCAAAAAAAAGTCATCGTTATGTAAGTCCTTGTCTGGGGTACCGGTCACTATTTTCTCCTTGCCTGGTCTGATCTTTAAGTAGTAGGCGAGGCCATCGCCTGTATGCCTGAGGGTATACTGGCGAAGTATCTCGGCCAGACCTAGGTTGGTTCCTAGCCA